TTTTTTTTTTTTTTTAAAGACAGGATTTCACCATGTTGGTCAGGCTGATCTTGAACTCCCAACATCAGGTGATCCGCCTGCCTTGGCCTCCAAAGTGTTTGGATTACAGGCGTGAGCCACCGCACCCAGCCTAGATTTCTTACATATTGTTTATGAATATTCCAATATACAATGATTTGTTCATAATAATAATAAAGGCCGGGTGCAGTGGCTCACATCTGTAATCCCAGCACTTTGGGAGGCCAAGGCAGGTAGATCACCTCAAGTCAGGAGTTCAAGACTAGCCTGGCCAACATGGTGAAACCCCATCTGTACCAAAAATACAAAAACTAGCTGGGTGTGATAGCGCATGCCTATAATCCCAGCTACCCAAGAGGCTGAGGCTGGAGAATTGCTGGAACCCAGGAGGTGGAGGTTGCAGTGAGCCAAGATCACGCCACTGTACTCCAGCCTGGGCAATGGAGCAAGACTTTATGTCAAAATAATAAGAAGAAAATAAAGTAATTGAATTCTTATATAGACCATCATTTGGTTGGGGCTAATAATCTGCATTTTAACATTGTGTTTCCAATCAGGTAGTTCAGCCATAAATTAATTACAAGCAAGAGTCGAATGCCACTGTTGAGTGGATTTTGAAAGGCCCTAGAAGCAGGGCAACTTCCACAGTGTCATTTGATTTAACTTGTGCTGTCCTCAGTGAGTTATTTGAACCTATATGGAAGGACGGTTGGAGTCTTTAAAGTTCAGAGTAGTTGACTTTGATATTTAATGCTAGGAAAATGGTTTGGAATGCAGCTGGACATAGTTTTAAGAGATAATACAAGTAGCAAAGAATAATTGAAGAGGCAGTTTGGGAATGTGTAAGGGCGTTTTCAGTTGGATGAAGGATGCTGTTGGCATTTAGGGCCTGAGAGCCACGGACTGCCTCAATAATACGTGAAACCACAAAATCCAGAATTGTTCCCCCCATAACATTGAGAAGCCCCTCATTAAGAGAGTGCTTTCTCCTGCATGTCAGAGAAGTCTAACTTAGTGGCTTGGCCAGTTGAAGGCTTGTTTTCCTCACATCCTGAGCGGCACAGAGAGAGGCTGTGCTTGGCTGGCAGGGGTTCCATATGCCCAGAGTAGAGTCCTGGGTAGTTCTGTCTTCCGTGCCCTCCTGAGGGTGGGCTTTCATCCTCACTGCTTCCAGATGGCTGCTCCATCTCCACAGGAGGGCGCGGCAGGGCAGAAGTGGCCCCTGGATAGGAAAGCAAAACTTAGAAATCATCAGCAGCGAGCAGCCTGCATCTCATTGGCAACAGCTGTGTTACCTGGTAACCTTTCTTTTCAAAAGAGACTAAGAAAAATAGTTTTAAAGTGGACACATTTCCCTCCCCATCAAATTAGGGTTTTATACTTTAGGAAGGGGGAAGAGTGGATATGGTGGAATCAACTACCAGAAATGGTGTGTACTCTAGGAATCGGATTTTGGAAAGGCCCTACATCTGTGGAATCTCGCAAGTTTAAATGGGAGTACATGTGAACCTGGCCGGAGGAGCATCACCTAGCTCCTGCCAACTTCACCAGTGGGCTTTCATTTCCTTAGCTATTGTATTTGCTTATATGGGTCCATTTTAGCAAGTGAATTTAGATTTTCTTTCACATTCCAGTAAATGTCTTTTTAAACTTTTTTGCAGACTTTGCATTTGGTAGCCTACTCTTGAGCTGCTGCATTTTGACTGAGATTTTAAAATTTTACACAGGTGATATTCTTGAATTTCATGGCCCAGAAGGAACAGGAAAAACAGAAATGCTTTATCACTTAACAGTACGATGTATACTTCCCAAATCAGAAGGAGGCCTGGAAGTAGAAGTCGCATTTATTGACACAGATTACCACTTTGATATGCTCCGGCTTGTTACAATCCTCGAGCACAGACTATCCCAGAGCTCTGAAGAAATGATCAAGTGCTGCCTGGGAAGACTGTTTTTGGTGTACTGCAGTAGCAGCACCCACTTACTTCTCACGCTTTACTCACTAGAAAGTATGTTCTGTAGTCGCCCGTCTCTTTGCCTTTTGATTTTGGATAGCCTGTCAGCTTTTTACTGGATCGACCGCGTCAATGGAGGAGAAAATGTTAACTTACAGGAGTCTACTCTGAAGAAATGTTCTCAGTTCTTAGAGAAACTTGTAAATGACTATCGCCTGGTTCTTTTTGCAACCACACAAACTATAATGCAGAAAGCCTCGAACTCGGTGGAAGAACCGTCTCATGCCTCCCAACGCCTGTGTGACGTGGATATAGACTACAGACCCTATCTCTGTAAAGCATGGCAGCAAGTGGTGAAGCACAGGATATTTTTCTCCAAACAAGATGATTCAAAAAGCAGAAACCAATTTTCATTAGTTTCACGCTGTTTAAAAAGTAAGAGTTTAAAAAAACATTTTTTTATTATTGGAGAAAGTGGGGTTGAATTTTGTTGATATATATCATAAAATAGTCTTTTGCAGGGTATTATGCAAGTTTTTCTTTTTTAAGACAGGGTCTCGCTCTATCTATCTCGCTGGAGTGCAGTGGCACAATCATGGCTCACTGCAGCCTTGAACTCCTGGCCTCAAGGGATCCCCCTATGTGTGTCTCCCAGAGTACAAGGATTACAGGCATGTGCCACTGCACCTGGCCAAAAGTTTTCTTTTTTTTTTGAGATGGAGTCTCACTCTGTCACCCAGCCAGGAGTGCCATGGCGTGATCTCGGCTCACTGCAACTGCTGCCTCCTGGGTTCAAGAGATTCTCCTGCCTTAGCCTCCCAAGTAGCTGGGATTACAGGTGCCCACCACCATGCCTGGCTAACTTTTGTATTTTTAATGGTGACTGGGTTTCACTATGTTGGCCAGGCTGGTCTCGAACTCCTGACCTCAAGTGATCCACCTGCCTTGACCTCCCAAAGTGCTGGTATTACAGGCGTGAGCCTCCGCGCCGGCCCTAAAGTTTTAAACTCTACGGGAATTAACAGTATTTCTTTACAGAATGGATTTGTTATAGTACAATAAAACTAAAGACTATTCTGTTTCTAGGCTGTTGAATCAAAGTGGTATTAACAATTAAACTTTGTATTAAGCTTGCTTTAAAAGCAAATAAATAATGTATACATATACTACATATACCTGCCTAAATAAGCTGGACATTTATAACTTTGTGTCACATTTTTGGAATTTCGTTAAGTACTTTTTTTTGTTTAAGAAACTTTACAGGCTAGGTGCAGTGGCTCATGCCTGTAATCCCAGGACTTTTGGAGGCCAAGGCGGGCAGATCATGAGGTCGAGAGATGGAGACCATCCTGGCCAACACAGTGAAACCACGTCTCTACTAAAATATAAAAATTAGCTGGGCATGGTGCACGTGTCTGTAGTCCCAGCTACTCGGGAGGCTGAGGCAGGAGAATTGCTTGATCCCAGGAGGCAGAGGTTTCGTTGAGCCAAAATCGAGCCACTGCACTCCAGCCTGGCGACAAAGGGAGACCCTGTCTCAAGAAACTTTACATGAATGCATTTCTTTCTTCTTCTTGTTTTTTTTTGGTTTTTTTTTTTTTTTTTTGAGATGGAGTCTCACTCTGTCACCCAGGCTGGAGTGCAGTCCAAGTAGCATGACGCCCAGCTAATTTTTGTATCTGGTTTCACCATGTTGGCCAGGCTGGTCTTGAACTCCTGGCTTGAAGTGATCCACCTGCCTCAGCCTCCCGAAGTTCCGGGATTACAATGAGCCATCGTGCCTGGCATCTTTTCTTTTCTTTCCTTTTCTCTCTCTCTTTTTTTTTTTTTTTTTTTTTTGAAACAGGATCTCACTCTGTTTCCCAGGCTAGAGTGCTATGGTGCAGTCACAGCTTGCTGCAGCCTTAACCTCCTGGGTTCAAGTGACCCTCCTACCTTGGCCTCTTGAGTAGCTGGGACTATAGGCGTGGACCACCACATCCTACTAATTTTTGTATTTTTTGGTAGAGCCGGGCTTCACCATGTTGGCCAGTCTTGTCTCAAATTCCTGTACTCAAGCAATCCATCTAGCTCAGCTTCCCAATGTGCCGAAATTACAGGTGTGAGCCACCATGCACAGCAAATTACTAGTATTTAGAACAGTCAGGCATACCTCTAAGTGGATGGAATCATTTCCAACTGAGAGCTGGACAGGCACTTTTTTTGTTGTTGTTTGTTTTTGAGATGGACTCTCTCCCTCTGCTGCCTAGGCTAGAGTGTGGTGGTGTAATCTTGGCTCACTGCAACCTCCACCTCCCAGGTTCAAGTGATTCTCCTGCCTCAGCCTCCCGAGTAGCTGGGATTATAGGCGTGTGCCACCATGCCCAGCTAATTTTTGTATTTTTAGTACAGATGGGGTTTCACCATGTTGGTTAGGCTGGCCTCGAACTCATGACCTCAAGTGATTGACTGCCTTGGCCTCCCAAAATGCTGGGATTGCAGGTGTGAGCCATCATGCCTGGCCTGGACAGGAACTTTGGTGCAGAGATGGCCCAAATGGATGTGTGCACCTCAAGGGGTATACAAGGGGATGTATTGTGGTGGAGGAAGAAAATTTTAGAAATTCTCTTGACACATTTAATTAAAGAAGAGATCGGCCGGGCGCGGTGGCTCAAGCCTGTAATCCCAGCACTTTGGGAGGCCGAGGCGGGTGGATCACGAGGTCAAGAGATCGAAACCATCCTGGTCAACATGGTGAAACCCCGTCTCTACTAAAAATACAAAAAATCAGCTGGGCATGGTGGCGCATGCCTGTAATTCCAGCTACTCAGGAGGCTGAGGCAGGAGAATTGCCTGAACCCAGGAGGCGGAGGTTGCGGTGAGCCGAGATCGCGCCATTGCACTCCAGCCTGGGTAACATGAGTGAAACTCCGTCTCAAAAAAAAAAAAAGAAGAGATCAATTTGTATCAGTTTGATATTTAGATTGACCTCAGCAGTCACCTTCAATCTGTATGTCAGAATGTCATATGTCACATATGTATCTGAGTTACTCCGGGGAAAAGTGAAAGGATTTGGAGTAGTGTCCTCATGGGCTTGTTCATTTCTAGGTTACCTCTTCAGTTAAAACTATTTATCTGTAAATGCACTTACTAATGGAAGTTTCTTCTTTCTTTTTTTTTTTTTTTTGAGACGGAGTCTCATTCTGTTGCCCAGGCTGGAGTGCAGTGGCGTGATCTTGGCTCACTGCAACCTCCGCCTCCCAGACTCAAGCAAGTCCTGCCTCAGCCTTCTGAGTAGCTGGGATTACAGGTGCCCACCACCACACCTGGCTAATTTTTGTATTTTTAGTGGAGACGGGTTTCACCATGTTGGCAAGGCTGGTCTTGAACTTGTGACCTCAGGTGATCTGCCCACCTTGGCCCTCCAAATGCTGGGATTACAGGCTTGAGCCCCCACACCTGGCCATGCATATGTTTAACTTTTTTTTTTATAGTTCATCTTTCTAAATTTTGTGTACTTTTATTATATGCAATACATGTTAGACATAATTTTTTTTTTTTAGGCGGAGTTTCCCTCGTGTTGCCCAGGCTAGAGTGCTGTGGCACAATTTCCACTTATGGCAACCTCTACCTCCTGGGTTCAAGCAATTCTCCTGCCTCAGCCTCCTAAGTAGCTGGAATTACAGGCATGTGCCACCATGCCCAGATATTTTTTTGTATTTTTAGTAGAGATGGGGTTTCTCTGTGTTGGTTAGGCTAGTCTCAAACTCCTGACCTACCTGCCTCAGGCTCCCAAAGTGCTGGAATTACAGGCATGAGCCACCGCGCCTGGCCATACATAAGTAATTTATAAACATTTGTAAGTTGGGGAAATATGCTAATTTTGCCCCATCAGTGTGTATGGTCAGTACAATTCAGAATCCTTCTCTACTCTAGAGTACTACTTTCAGCTCTCGAGAAAAGATGTGAGTATTCAGTTACCTTTCCTTTCAGGCTCTGTAAAGTGTGTGCCAAGTGTGTATGAAAAACTCGGCAACTCTCAGCAGAATTCTAGCCTGAAATATGATAGAATTTTCCATTTCCCCTTTCTGTAAATGAAGTGTTAATTTAATGGACTGTTATTCACTGATTTATAACTTATTCTTTAGGAAAATGATTAAAAAATAATGAACTTTCATATTAACTTAAATGATCAATTATATAATAATATGTCAGACTAAAGACTGCATTATCTTAAAATGATTTGTTATTTGACATGTTGGAAGGAATTAAGAATACTGGTTAGGCCGGGTGTGGTGGCTTATACCTGTAATGCCAGCTCTTTGGGAGGCCAAGATGGGTGGATCACTTGAGGTCAGGATTTCAAGACCAGCCTGGCCAACATAGTGAAACCCTGTCTCTACTAAAAGTATAAAAATTAGCTGGGCGTGGTGACACACGCCTGCAATCTCAGCTACCAGGGTGATTGAGGCAAGAGAATTGCTTGAGCCCTGGCAGCCAAGGTTGCAGTGAGCTAAGATTGTGCCACTGCACTCCAGCCTGGGCCACATAACGAGACTCCATCTCAAAAAGAATACTCATTAACAAAAAAAAATTTTAACTAAAAGTTAAACACTACAGAATTTTAAGGTTGGCATGGTGGCTCACATCTATAATCCCAGCACTTTGGGAGGCTGAGGCAGATGGATCATTTGAGGTCAGGAGTTTGAGACCAGCCTGGCCAACATGGTGAAATCCTGTCTCTACTAAAAATACAAAAAAAAACAAAAGATTAGCCAGGTAGTAGTGGTGCATGCCTGTAGTCCCAGCTACTCGGGAGGCTGAGGCAGGAGAATTGCTTGAGCCTGGGAGGCAGAGGTTGCAGTGAGCTGAGATTGCGCCACTGCATTCCAGTCTGTGCAACAGAGTGAGACCCTGTCTCAAACAAAACAAAAAAAGAAGAAGAAATGTTGGTACTTGTAAAAAGAATCCGCTTTGTAAAGAGAAAGAGATAGAGACACCACACTGTAAGTTACATATGTAGCAGACACCAGGGGTGCTGGATGGAACCAGAATAATAATAGAAGTGCATGATTACAAATCTTAGAATATTTATCCCGTTTATTTATCTTATTTACCTGCAAAAAAAACATGAGGATCATAAAATACTTTTCTTCTTGGGGTCATTGTGAGAATCTAGTGAAAAAAAAATACATGTGAAAATTAGTTCAGACATTCATTTAATATATACCATACAAAATTAATATGGTAGTTACCTTATCACTTGCTTCAAATATATAGTTTTCTATTTTTTTTTTAAAGGTCATCAGTTATTTAATTAGATTATTAGGACATTTAAAGCACCAATTTGTGAGGATAAATTCCATTTGTCAGGGCAAACACAGATCACAGGTAGCCCTGGAGCTGAGGAATAGCTTTGATTTTTGGTAAAATTTGTGAGTCCACAGCTTTCTGATCAATCTTGCGCTGCTCTGTAATCTCGTATTTTTCTTTTTCTGTGTCAAAGATCTCACCTTCCTGGTGTCTGGGCTTCCACAACTTCTTCTTGAAGTAAGCATCAGTAAGATGTTTTGGGATTTTTACATTGCTGATACCGATTTTGGTTGAGGTGGCAATGACAAATTTCTGGTGCGTTCTTCGCAGAGGAACTCGATTGAGGACCAGAGGTCCAGTCACAAGTAATAAGCCACTAGCCAGCTGCTTCAGGAAAACCACCCTCTTGCCCCTGTGGCGTCCAGTGAGGATGATCAGAGTGGTCCCGGGGGTGATGCTGGCTCGCAATTTTCTCACGTGCTGACTGAAGGGTTTTTGCCGTGGCTCAACAGCTTTCGAGGCACATCTTCAGTAGGATAATACTTAGGCATTTTGCGAAGTTTAACCACCTGGGTACCGCCGTTTTTGTCACCACCACATTTTGTAACAGTTGCAAGAACCTTCTCCTTCTTTTTCTTTTCAATCTTGGATTTAGCCACTGAGTACTTCCTCTTGTACATGGCCTTTCTGGAATACATGGCAGATGGGGAATACCTGCCGATTCCTCTGACAAGAACAGGATTGCGGCTGCAATGGGGCTTCTCCTTCTTGGGCTTTTTAGCCTTGAGGTTACCCTTTTTCACTTTGCTACCAGCATCAGCCTTCTTGGCTTCAGGT